TCTGCAGCACCCCTCCCCCCGCCCCCGCCCCCACCAGTGCACCACTTTGAAAGGTTCGTATGGGTTATGTACCCACCCAGGCAGCATTTGCTGGACGTCGGCATTTGCGCTAATTATTTCCTACCAAGATGGAGGCCCTGGGGAATAAGATTTAACAGAAAACATTCCGCTCCCAGTGGGTTTGGCAGTCTCGTTGTCAGGAGGCCCCCTGGCACCTTGGTAAAGGCTATGTCCCCAGCAGGTTCAGCTCCAGCAGCGGCCAGAAGCCCTGGGCGGAGGTCTCCTCAGGCCACTGCGGAGGGGGGTCTAAGGGCGGGCTTTGGGGAGAGAGGAGAGGATGAGGGAGGCAGGTGGACAGGAGAGGAGGAGGGAAGTCGGGGCGGGGGAGGAGAGTGGGGGGCCCAGGTGCGGCGGGCAGACAAGAGGGTCAGTGATGGTGAGAAGAAGGGAGGCTGCACAGCAATGAATAAATAAAGCCTTGTCCGGGGCCAGGAGGCCTGGGTTCGAATCTCAGCCCTGCCATTTCCTGGCTGCGTGGTTTGGGGCAAGTCACTTTGCCTCTCTGTGCCTCGGTTTCCGCATCTGCAGAATGAAAATGACCCCTCTTGAGCTTTGAAATGTCAAAGTCAATATCTGTGCCTGACACTTAATAGCATAGTGTGCCTCCTGCACGCCCCCTTCTGGGGATCAGACCATGGTTCAGTGGTTTGTGAAATATGATTGACCCTTGAACAACGCAGGATTTAACTGTGCAGGTCCACTTATACACAGCACTTTTCAATAAACATACAGTCGCCCCTCTGTATCTGGGTTTCGTATCTGTGGATTCGGCCAACCGCAGATCGAAAACAGTAACATCTTCTTTTATTTTTTTAATATATTTTTATTGATTTCAGAGAGGAAGGGAGATGGAGAGAGAGACAGAAACATCAATGATGAGAGAGAATCATTGATTGGCCGCCTCCTGCATGCCCCCTACTGGGGACCGAGCCCGAAACCCGGGCATGTGCCCGTGACTGGAATCAAACCTGGGACCCTTCAGTCCGCAGGCCGACGCTCCATCCACTGAGCCAAACCGGCCAGGGCAATAACATCTTCTTTTTAATTTTTTAAATTACAATTTACATTCAATATTACTCTGCATTCGTTTTGGGCGTACAGCATAGGACAATAGCATTTTTGACCCACAGCTGAGAATCCACGGATGCAGAGGGCTGGGTGTCTGCATCGTTCCACCCCTTTTTATGTGAGGAACCTGAGTGGCCAAGGACTTTGGTTTTCGAATGGATCCTGGAACCAAAGCCCCACAGATACCAAGGGACTGAAATAAAGTTTGAGGGGAGTCAAAAGGTACATGGGATTTTCCACTGCGTGGGGGTCAGCACCTCTAAGCCCCGCATTGTTCAGTGTTCAACAATAAGTGAAGGGCTTGCCAGTGTGGCTCAGAGGTTGAGGGTCGGCCTATGAACCAGGAAGTCATGTTTGGGATGCCTGGGTTTCAGGCTTGATCCCCAGGTGGGGGCGTACAGGAGGCAGCCGATCAATGATTCTCTCTCGTCATTGATGTTTCTACCTCTCCCTTCCTCTCCCTTCCTCTCTGAAATCAGTAAAAGCATATTAAAAAACAATAAATAGCCCTGACCGGTTTGGCCCCGTGGATAGAGCATCGGCATGCGGACTCAGGGGGCCAAGGGTCGATTCCGGTCAAGGGCATGTACCTTGGTTGTGGGCACATCCCCAGTAGGGGGTGTGCAGGAGGCAGCTCATCGATGTTTCTCTCTCATCGATGTTTCTAACTCTCTATCCCTCTCCCTTCCTCTCTGTAAAAAATCAATAAAATATATATTTTTAAAAAACAACAATAAATAGAAGGAACTGGGAGGGGAGTAGTTAGAGGGAAAGAAAAAAAACATTCATAAGAAAAGGAGCTGGAAAGACAGGCGAGTAAAGCCTCCCTCACCAGGGGATGAGCTGCTACACACAGTCAGTTCCCATCACTCGAGCCAGGTATGGTCTGGGAATCACCGTGAACATTGAATTAGTGAGTACTGACCCTCTGCTCCTGGGGGAAGTGTGTATCTATGTATATAAAAGGCTAAGTGTCTGTCCTACCAACCAGTAGCTATGATGTGCACTGACCACCAGGGGGCAGACGCTCAACACAGAAGCTGCCATGACGCGCACTGGCCATTTAAAAATAAACGGCCCTGCGGACCTGGTGCCGACAAACCAACACTCGGCTTCCCCCAAGTGGGACACAGGCCTCACCACCACCCTGGAGCGACAGCCCACAAAATCTCAGCCAATGTTGCCAAGACGCCATGGTGTAAAATGCAGCCCACAGTTCAGCCCAGCCTGGAAATGGTCTCTTCGGGCACTGGGTAATGACCTCACATAGCAATGCCTGGCTTCCTCTCCCTAGCAACGACTAGCCTCTCATTTTTTTCAGCCCAGGAACACCACTTGCTTTATAGCCAGGTGTAGACATTTCACACTTTAACCAAATGTCTGTGAAGTTTTTTCCCATGCCTCATCTCATTTGATCGTCACAGAAGTCCTGGATTAGGTAGATAGGAGATTCAGTGGAATCCTATTTTCTTTTCATTAGCGGAGTAGGTAGATAGGAGACTGGGTGGGATCCTATTTTCTTTTTATTAGCCGGAAAACAGAGATTTAGAAAGCTTAGAAACTTGACCCAACTGAAAAGAAGTAAGAAATGGTGAACCTTGAAAATGACTTCAGGTTTTCTCACTGCACAGAATATAGTCCAACACTGCTGCAGTTAAATATTTCACCCTTTGTTCTCCCTGATTGATCTACAATAATAATCTGCTTCATGTTGATATTTACTGCTGTGTTGCTGACAATTACCTAAAGAGAAGTTGGGGTGCTAAACTTTGAAAAAGCTTAGCTAAGTCAAAAAGCAGGTCAAATGAAGCAAGTTTATTCTATACATATAAAAGGCTAAGTTGACTCCCACATGTGCGATACATATAAAGCTCTCATTGGCGCCAATCGCCTGTGTGTGTTTTGATCTGTCATTGTCAATCGTGAATTTGGTTGACACTTTTATTATAGAGAAAGGGCGATAGCGATATTAAAATATTTCTTCTAATTAATTTCCTTTCAATGTGCACAAATCCGTGCACCAGGACACTAATATATAATAATATGAACCTGCTATGGATTGAATGTTTGTTCCCTCAAAAAATTCATGTGTTGCCCTGGCCGATGGCTCGGTTGGCTGGAGTATCATTTCATACACCGAAGGGTTACGGGTTTGATTGCCAATCAGGGCACATACCTAGATGCGGGCTCGATCCCCAGTCAGAGTGCATTCGGGAGGCAACCAATCGATGTCTTTCTCTCACACCAATGTTTCTCTCTCTCTCTCTCTCTCTCTCTCTTTCTCTCTCTCTAAAAATCAATAAAAACATATTCTCAGGTGATGATTTAAAGAAGATGTATATGTTGAAATTCTAACCTTTAAATTGATGGTGTTTGGAGGTGAGAGCTTTGGAAGGTGATTCAGCCATGAGGGTGGGGCCTTCATGAATGGGATTAGTGCCCTAGAAAAGAACCCCATCCCCCCTGAGGCTCCCTCAGCCCGCCCACCTGTGAGGACACAGCCAGAAGCCGGCCCGCACCACACACAGAATCTTGGTCCTGGACTTGCCAGCTTCCAGAACTCTGAGAGACACATGCTTGCTCTGTGAGTCACCCAGCCTGTGGTATTTCTGTTACGGCAGCCGGAACAGGCTAAGACGGTGCCTGTATGTGCGCGTATATGTATATGTACACATATATAGATACATGGATATCTAACATAGATTGTCATCTTAAAGCCTAGAACCAACTCATACTAATTAACTCTATTTTGTTGATTTTGCAAATAAATACATTGCCTGAGGCTGCCCCCCACCCCCCACAGGCGCCAGCCCTGAGATTCAAACCCGTTCCACCGGCCCAGAGCCTGAGCCCTTGGCTGCGCCACCCCCTCCTGTCTGTCCTCCGGGCATCGCTCTGCCTGACACCTGAAATCAGGGCAAAGTGTCCTCTTGCTCAACCTCAGCTGGGAACAGCACTACCGACAACTCAAAGTCTTGCCGCCCTGCGCATGTCCGCGGAACCTGGAACCGCACAATGAGCGCTGATTCTGGGGTTACAAGGACTTTTTGGGCCCTATTGGTTTGGCTCAGTGCATAGAGCATCGGCCTGCACACTGAGGGGTCCCGGGTTCGATTCCATCAAAGGCACATGCCTGGGAGGGCGTGCAGGAGGCAGCCGACCAGTGGTTCTCTCTCATTATTGATGTTTCTCTCTCCCCCTTCCTCTGTCTCTAAAATAAGTAA